ATCCCCAGCCCCAGCCCCATCCCCATCCCCAGCCCAGGCTCGGGTTCGGGCAGAGCCCGGAGCGGGGCAGCAGCAGCAGCTGCAGTGCGCTGCCCTCTCTCGGGAGCAGAACCGCCCTGCAGCGCCCGGGAGAGCAGGGGATGGCTGGGTCCTGTCCCAGAGCCCCGGGCTGGGTCCTGTCCCCAGAGCCCCGGGCTGGGTCCGGTCCCAGAGCCCCGGGCTGGTCCTGTCCCCAGAGCCCCGGCCCCCACAGGAGCTGCTGCTCCAGCTCCGTGAGCGGCAGCAGCTGAAGAGCTTTGCCCACAAAGGGGGATTCAGGAGAGCTGCGGTGCCAACTGCTCCGGGAAGCAGCCCCGGCACGGAAAATGCTGCGCTGCAAATCTGTGGGAAGGACTGAGCCGGGCCGGCTCCTGCTGCCCGGGTCACTGCGGGGGGCAGCGCTCCCGGGATGCAGGAATGGGGTGTGGGACCGCCGGGAGAGCCTTCTACAGGCACAAAAAGGATCTGATCTAACACACCACGCGTTCTCAGTGTCCACCAGCCCGTGAGTTGTACAGGCAGGTGCTGTTCCAAGGTCCTCTGCTTCCCTCCCACCCAAAGCAAGGTCACCGAGCTCCAACACCGCCTCTGCATCCCATCCAGAACCCAAGTGTGGCTCCCCGGGCCCCTGTGCAGTGAGGTGTGCAGATACACGCTGGTTTCCAAGGGGAAAAGATGGGATTTTATGTTCCTGGATCCTCCCAGAACCCATTTTCCCTCACATAAAGTTTGAGCACAGACCAGTCTTATAACTGGTCCAAACTCAGATTATTTCTGCAAGCCCCAGTCACGCTCCCAGTCATGGATATCACTTTTTCTTTGCCAAGAGCATGGCCCTCTCTGTCTTGATGCCAGAAATGAGAAGCTATCCCAAGAAACGCCCCTGTACTCATTGTTCTTCAGCCTTGGAGGTCACTCCCTTACCTGGCTGGCTTCTCATTTGCCTTTTGACATCTGGCTGTGTGCTGGCTCAGGGATATTTGGGTTCAATCCACAAACGGCAGAGCTCTGCCCAGGGGTGGGGATGGCTCAACCTTTCTTCCACCAAAAGAAATATCCAACCCAAGAGCTCTCCTGGAAGTATTTGTTTCTAGACCTTCTCCCTAAGCTCCTGTCACTACTCCCTCTGCTTGTGAGGCCTCTGCTCTCACCCCTACAGCTCAGCTCTTCCAACAACTTAATTCATTTTACAATCTAATCTCTGACCCAGGGCAGGCTCTGAGTTGCTGTTGAGGGTCTTCAAAGTCTTAAACCAGTACAACTGGCCTTGCCCTTGACAGCACACTGATATAGAGCAGATATTCCAGAAGCTCCTGGACACTGGCAGCCCCAGCTGCAGCGGAACAGCTGAGAAATGACACAGCCTTGGGTCTAAACAAGCAGTGCTGCAGCAGAAAAACAATTCAGGAACTCCCCTGCAGCCCAGGGCTGGGGCAGGCAGGACAGGGCTGCTGCTCCAGGGAAGGCTGCACGGGTTTGTTCCAGTGGCAGCCCAGTTGCAGACCCCTCTGCTGAAGGACAGGACACAGTCCCAGATATCACACACAGGTGGGAGCCACTCAGACCAGAATGGCTTGGGTTGGAAGGGACCTTAAAGCTCACCTTGTTCTGCCCCTGCCATGATCCCAGGCTGCTCCAAACCCTGTCCAGCCTGGCTTTGAACAGTTCCAGGGATCCAGGGGTAGCCACAGCTTCTCTGGGGTACCTGTGCCAGGACCACACCATCCTCACAGGGAATTTCATCCTAATATCCAAGCTAAACCTACTCACTGTCAGTTTGACGATATTCCCCTTGTCCTGTCACTCCAGGCCTTTGTAAAATGTTTCCATCTTTCTTGCAGGATCCCTCCAGGGAGGAGAAGGCTACAACTAGATCACCCTGGAGGCTTCTCCTCTCCAGGCTGAACAATCCCATTTCTCTCAGCCTTTCCTCATGGGACAAGAGCTCCATCCCTCTGATTACCAGTGGCCCTCCCAAAGCAGCACACGACACCTGGAAGATGAAATCTCTTCTTGGCAGTGCGAGGTGGCACCAGAAACACAACACAGAAACCTCTTGTGACAGTCTGGGGAGGCCAGGACAGGGCCAAAGAGCAGGTGGGGCAGTCTGGTAACAAACCTACCAATAAAACTCACCTCCCAAAGCCTGTGCAACCCCAGCAGCTTCCAAACCACACCCCAGCACAGATGGGCAAACCCTCAAGCACCCCCAGAGTTGTTCCTGACACATTTTCTCTTTGGGACATGGAGGTGCACACCTGTAAGGTTTTTTCAGATCACAGTATGAAAGAAAGTGACAGGATAATGCAAAATAATTGATTTTATTTAAAATAAAAAGCAAAATCACAATCATCCGAACAAGACAAGTATCCCAGCTCTGCTGGATGGGTGATAAAAGCAGCTAAGGGCTTGGAGCTGACAGTGGGACTGCCACATGAATGGGTGACACTTTCCTTCCCCTCTTTGTGAGGGGGAATGACAAAAACCTCCTGTTACAATGTGCCCACACAGGCATTTCAGGCTGGATTCAGCCAACAGTCTCATTTCCCAACCCACAATGGCTGGGGATTCAGGGAGGAGAGTAGAGGTTAACTATGAAAGAGGTTGCTGTCTTTCCTTGGAGCATTTGGAGAGGTTTGATGTAACTGAGAAGACAAACTGGAGCCAGCACACACGAGCTGGAAAGGGGAGGAAGGTCTGCCAGAGGCTCCTCAGTGTCACCTGCTCCCACAGCACTTGTGCAGGGAACAGGTGCTGGGACTGGTGCCTCTTGTTCACATTTGTGGTTCTGATGGAGTGTTGGGTTGTTTCCTCCTGAACTCTCACAGCCTGTGCCTGCTACCAGGCTCTACAGCACAGCCAGAGCTCCCAAATCCCATCATCTCTCTGGAGCAGGCAGGACTGTGACAATGACACCCAGCCTGAGGCTCTCTGCCCCTCCCTGGGGAACAGAGCAGCTCCCAAAGCCCAGAGAGGTGAGGCAAAGCTGTGCTGCTGCTCTGGGGCTCAATGAGAGGCACACAGGGTGCTGGAGCAGCTGCATCCAGGGCCTCCAGAGTACAAAAGCTGCAGGGTTGGAACAGGAGACAAGGATGTTCCAAGAAGCATAAGCCTGGAGAAATGAGAGCACAGAGCCCACCCTCCCCAGCTAGCTTCCCACAAGCATGGGGTGAGGCACAAAGGAAGCAGAGTTTTTAACTGTTCCTCACCCAGTCTGAAATGAGGGCCTGGGAAGCACCAGCTCCCCCCATTGCTGCAAGGCCAGTGAAGCTGACTCCCTGATGAGAGAATTGTATCCAGTCCTATTTAAAAACAGATCCTGCTCTAGCAGGACCCCCTGTATAGAGCAGGCTGTGGAACAGCAACAGTTCAACCCTGGTGAAAACAGGAAGTCTTGTTCTGCTACAGTTTTTGTACCACACAGCAATTCTGGAAGGCCACCACAGAACACCAGCTGGCCAAAAGTGTTGAGTAACATCCCCCATGTTTTCTGCTATGAAAAGCTCCCACCAGGCTCAGAAGTCTCAGGTTGCTCAGGATGAATGGAACACTTTCTGGGGATGGATGGATTGAAAGCATCCCACACAGCAATTACATTTCAGCCTCACAACAGCCCTGTGAGGTAGGGATTTCCCCACTGCTCAAAGTGGCTGAGGCAAAAGCCAGAAGTGGAAGAACTGAAGATCCCAGAGTCCTGATACCCAGGTAGCCTGCACAGACACTGTTTCACAGCAGGAGGTGCCCTGTGGAGCAGTCAGGAGAGGGTTGCTGGTATCATGATGTCTGCAGTCCGTTGTAAACACGCTGCTTTTCTGTGAGGGGTGTCACACCAACACAGGCTTCACCTGGAATTGTTTTATTCCACACCATGGAAGAGTTCACAGGCGTGGAACAATGCTCTGCCCACTGGATCTTCCCCCTGTGCTTCTAGAGGCAGAGGTGTGGCTTTCCCAGCACAGCAATCAGGCTTTCACATTAGATTTTAAGACTGTGGAAACTGAAGCACATGTGCCAAATGCAGCTGCATCTCACTGAGGTGCTGCCCAGCCACCAGAGAGGGTAAGGACAGCCCTCCAAGGACTCCCCTCACCATGACAGAGCTGTCTTGTGAGCCTTTGCCTCCACAAGCCTCACATTCTTCCAAAAGGCAGCAGCTGCAGCCTGCTCTGAGAGCACACACATAGACTGTGCAGGCTTCCAGGCTGTTCAGCCTTGGCAAGAAGTGACAGGAGTTGGAGAAGTTGGAGGTTTTTTTTAAATAATCTTGTGGAAGAATCTGCAGTGGCTACAGAGCAAATGTGCTTGTTTATTGTTTATCTATCACAGGAAATCTGAGAGTCTAGACAGCTAAAAAATGTATCAATAAGCTTTCCCTCTCCATTTCCCTACCACCACACTGCTCTTACACAAACTGGCACAAAAGAGTTAAAAACAGAGACCCTGACAAACATATTTAGGATTCCTTTGTACAAAAGGATATGGCCCAGGAGTGTTTAAATAAGGAAAAGGGTAAAAATGGATCAGAGAATCCAGAAAAGCAACACTCCAGGTTCCACCAAACCAAACACCCTTAAGAAAGTCACAGTTGAGGCTTTAATCTCTCTTCAATTTGCTCTTTCATCAGTGCCTGGGCATTGCTGTGTGTTTACTACAAGCACAGCACTTCTGCTGTCAAGTTTCCTCTCCCAGAGAAGGGCAGAGGTGAGTTCTGTACCCCATTCCTAGGCTCAGAGCACCCACTGAAGCAGCCCATGGGACGTTCAGATTTCCTGGCAGCACCTTCAGCCACACAGAGACACCACCAGCACAAGCCCCTGCTAATGTAACAAACCAGCAGCTCCAAAAGGTCCCTTGGGGACGAGAGCTTTACGTGGCATAATACAAATGCATCTACACAGACTTAAGCAACACACTGCATATTTAAAAAGCATAAAACAACAACGTGTCCCCTCCTCAGTCCTTTAAAATTGGCACTGCAACTTTCAGAAAGGTCTGAATGCATAACCTCAAAGAAAAGCCATTAGGGATGTGAACTGCACTGAGCAAGCCCCCAGCCCCAGAACTGTTTGGTGTTTCAAGCCCAGCAAATGTGATTCTGCCAGTCAGACTTTGTCAGCAGTTGCCTTGTGCTAAACATCACACCTGCACCTGAAAGGCTGGAATTACTGGCAAATGCTGACTTTTTCCTGTCACAGTTTTTGCTGTGCAAGAAACTCCAGGATTCTCCTGCTCCATCGAGCTTCCCATCACAGGGTGCTAGTGCAGCTTTGTTGCCTGTCACCGTGACACAGTGGCAGTAGATGGACTGTTGCTGCTTCAGGTGTTGCACCTCAGGTGTGTGCATGGAGCACACAGATTCAGACCACAAAAGGTGCTTCATGTTGGTGGTCACCTCTGCTGAAGTTGTTTCAGTGCTTGGGGCATTCACCTTCCCTTCCCTGGATGAACAGGGATCTTGGAAACAAGACAAAAAAGGAAGGTGTTTGCCCAGTGGAAGCAAGGTCAGGTGACATGGGAAGAATACAGAAATGCTGCTGCCACTGTAGGGAGAAAATTCACATGGCCAAAGCTCAACTTGAGACAAGACTGACCAGAACCATGGGGAAAATAAAAAAGTTTTTTCAAATATATTAATGGCAAAAGGCGAATTAGAAATAACACTGGCCCATTCCAGGATGAGGATGGTCACCTCACAAACAGGGCCCTGGCAGAGGTGTTTAATGTTTCTTTGCCTCTGTCTTCAGCACAGATGATGGACCAAGGGGTCTCAGTGCCCTGAGCTGGAGGACTGTGACTATGAGAATGTTCAACTCCCAGTTGACCCCAAAGCAGCAGGATCTGTTGCTCCAGATGGATGCCTGCAAATCCATAGGACTGCATGGGATTAATCTGAGAATCCTCAAGACGCTGCTGATGTCATTGCAACACCTCTCAATGATTTTTGAGCAGTCTTGGGAATCCAGAGGTGTTCCAGCTGACTGGAAGCTGGCAAATATCCCAATTTTCGAGAACAAGGAGGACCCTGGAAACCACAGGCCTATCAGTCTCACTTCAGTGCCTGGCCAAATCATGGAAGAGATGATTCTGGGAAATACTGAAAAACACCTGGAGGACAATGCAGGCATCAGTCACAGCCAGCACAGCTTCATGAAGGGAAAGTCCTGCTTGTTGAATCTGATCTCCTTCTGTGACAGGGTGACCCAAACTGTCTAGCCCACAGCTGGCTAACCATGTTACATGATGGGTGAGCAACAACTGGCTCACAGGTTGGACACAAAGGGTGACAGTGACTGGGGTGACATCAGGCTGGCACTGGCCACTATCAGGGTTCTGCAGGGCTCCATCCTTATCCCTGTGCTCTTCAACATCCCCATTAATGACTCGGACACAGGACTGGAAGGAATATTAAGTTTGCCAACAACACTAAATTGGAAGGAGCTGTCAACTCCCTTGAGGGTAGAGAGGCTCCAACAAACGAGAGAGATGGACAATCACCAACCGTGTGGAGTTTAACAAGGGCTGGATTCTGCACTGGGGTCCAGGCACTCCTGGTTGTTGGACAGACTGGGGAACGAGAGGCTGGAGAGCAGAGCTGTGGAAAGGGACCTGGGAGTCCTGGTTGGTGGCAAGCTGGATCTCAGCTGTGCCCTGGAGCCCAGAGGGCAAACCGTGTCCTGGGGCAATCAGGCCCAGCATCTGTCCTGCTCTGCTCTGCTCTGGGGCAGCCTCACCTTCAGTGCTGGGGGCAGTTTAGGGAACCACAACATCTAACAGACATTAAGCCATTGGAGAGAGTCCAAAGGAGGCCATGAGGATGGTGAAGGCTCTGGAGGGGAAGCTGTATGAGGAGTGCCTGAGGTCACTTGGGCTGTTCAGCCTGGAGGAGACTGCGGTCAGACCCCATTTGGCTCTTCAGCATCCTCATGAGGGACAGCAGAGGGGCAGGTACCAATCTCTTCACTCTTGTGACCAGTGACATGGCTCAAGGAAGTGGCTGGAGCTGAGTGAGGGCAGGTTTAGATACCATGGAAACATTTTTCACCCAGAAGGTAGTTGGGCACTGGAACAGGCTTCCCAGGGCAATGGTCCCAGCACTGTGCCTGTCTGAGTTCATGAAGTGTTTGGACAATGCTCTCGGGCACAAGGTGGGATTCTTGGTTTCTGTGCAGGGCAGGAGTTGAACTCAATGATCCTGACGGGCTCTTTCCAAGTGCCCGTACTTCCAGGATTTTATGAGACACACACTTGGAAGCGCCAGCCCTGACAGCAATGTTCTCCTGCAGCAGGGTAAGATCCAAGGACTCATTTTCCACAGCTCAGTTCTTGCAGAAGTTCATTTCTTCCTTGTTCTTCCTGAAATTCTGGTGTGAGATCCACCCGACGTTCCAATAGGCCAAAAGGGCTGGTGTTCCTTTCCTCAAGTGTACAGGACAACATGTAAACATATGACAGTGTCAAAGCAAGGCAGGTTTTTACATTTACCTGCTGGTTTTAAAAGGAGTTCTTTAAAAACTGACCATTGTCTTCCTTGCCAGTTCCATGACCCATTAAATACTCAGCATGTCCTTACCCACAGCTGGGTTGTAGTGCACTCACCAGGGGCGCAGAGGGGACAAAGCATTGCACAAAGGACGCAGTCGGGGCATTGCCCTACAGGTTATTCAGGAGCCAACCTTGGACAGCACGTAATGAAGATGTCTGGATCGACGAAGGGTGACAAAAACTTAAGGAGTGTGAGAAATAGAAGCAGGAGGGGGTAGAACAGAGCTGGCTGGCTGCTAACGGAGCTTCGATCGGCAGCTGCCTCTGGGCAGGTGGTGTTATCCCTCAGGGGTAGCTGCGGCCTCCACAAGATTCCCTAATCCTGTCAAAAAAAGGTACAACTGCCTTTGAGCATTCCCCTTGTATCAGGGCACGAGATCCCAGCATGCAGATTAATCTCAGGTTTATTCTTCCTCCAGCATTGTATAAGCAGGGTTAAGATTTCATGTTTGGAAGCATTTCTAGCAATTAAGCCATCACACAGCTGCAACAGAACGCCCGCCCACCCTCACAGAGCGGAGCCATCAACATACAGGAGGAAGAACAGTGAAGTCCAGAAAGCAGATGTTCTAGGCAAGGTGCTAATTTTTAATATTTAAGGTATTCATTTCAAAAATTTGAATGGCTAATAATTTTAAAATGCCCAGGTTTTTCAGAAGAACAGATCTGCATTGTGATCTGCATTTTTATAGCTTTCTTTTTAAACCAGGGTCTGAATTAAGGTTTGTTCTTTCCTGCTGCTTATTCCCTGCCTGAAGTCACACTGGCTGCCAAAATGGGATTTGACAATGTCATAACAAGCAAATTGGGGAAACCTCCAGGGCAAAATAAGCAGTCAGTACAGTTCTCCCCACCCTTTAATGATGCTCTGTACTTGTAATTCAATTGTATTCAGTTATGAGCAACTGCTGGAAACAAGAGAGCAACCTACAGGAGCACACAGGTCTTCAGGCAGTCCCCACACTGGGAAGTCAGGCTGGAATCATGCTGGAATGTGGACTTCCACAGGTAAATTACTGCTGCACACCTTCTTCAGCAAGCCACACACTAAGCCACCACAGCACTTGCATCCATGCCAAACCTGGAGCATCCAAGAGCTCAAGAGCTGGCCAGTACTCTAATGCAGGCAGGCAGCCAATCCAGCAGCACTGGTTAACCAAGCTGCAAGGAATTTGCTGAAGAATTTTGGCAAGCCTCTGCTATATGAGAAAAATGCTTCATTTAGCAATGAATGTTTAAGTTCTTCCCTGCAGTATACTCCCAGCTTCCCAGTGTTCCACTGTTTTTAACCTGGTCTGCCCAGAGAGCTGCCTTCCTCAGCAACTTTACCCTAAGCATATCCATCCTTGATCTTGCAATATTAATGTTGCCTCCTTACACACTGAAACTTGCTCGATATTTATGTATTTATTTATTTAAAATGTAAACACAGGCATTTGGAATTTAGTATGAATTTTGCCTTTATCAGATAAAGCAGTGGAACAAATTTAAATAGTCCAGGCAGAGGTAAGAGAAACCATATCACTACTTGAAGGTTTTCTGTTTGAACAAGTCATGGAAACCTGAGCGCTGCCTGATCATTCTTCATTTTTAGTTGTTCACTATTCATTTGTGCTCTCTGAAGAGCAGTTAAAACATCCCACCTCTCCCATTAAACAAAGTTAAAATCAAATCTTTTCATCTATTAAAAGAGACAACTAGGAAAAGTAATATGACTGTTTATTAAATAAAACTCCTGATTTTTTTAAAAAAACATCAGTAATCTTAAATTTTCTGTTTGGAATAATTAAAATAATTAATGGAGGGAAGATCCCACTGTTCAACTGCTTTATGTCCTGTAAGGAATCTCCTGCTCTCCATCCCTGTCTCCTGAGGAATCCCCTATCTGAAGTGTTTCAGTTTTCCCTTGTACTGTCCTGTGCTTGTTTAAAACCAGCAGCTGCCCTGGGGTCACCTGGAGGAGCTGCGCTCTTTGCTCACGCAGTCGTCCTGGGAAGTTGTGTCCCCGTTTCCCATCATTCCACACGTCCTCCGCTTTTTCCTGCGGTGCATCATCCCCTCTGTCTCGGAGCCAGAGTCACACTGAAGGATGGAAAGATGAAATCACAATTCAGAGGAACCTCATGAGCTGCCTGTGCTGTGCAATTCACCACAAGAGCTACTCATCAACCCTGAGCTCAAAGAATGTGCTGTTTTAGGCATGTCAAGGAAATTTTAAATTAAGCATTTAAAAATCAGGAACAGAAACCTTCTTGGATTTCACAACTGGCTAAAGTTGACTTGAGGCAAGACAATGAACACATTCCTTTTGGTCCCTAGAAGGACCTCAACTTCCAAGACTCTGGCTGCTGAAGGATTTAGGTGTTGAGAAGAGTCCTGTGTCATAATTGACCTGTTTTAGATTTTTCCCCTCTCCCAAATTTTAGAACATTTATTTTGCAGCCATTTTCCACAAGCTAAATGAGTGACAGATTTATATATAATACAGACATGGATCAAACAGAATGAATCCATTTAGCAATGCAAAGAGAGGCTTCAGCAAACAGAACCTGCTAAGATCACAGGCTCCTCCACCACATAGATTGGTTTAGGTGCTTTATATTAATTTATTCCATATGGCCTGAATGTAAGGATGAAGGCACCCAATCAGGTATGGATAAACAATGTAAGTGTAGAACATGGACCACCTATTGCAATAAAAAGCATTACCTCTGAATCAGAGTCTGAGGAGCTGGAACTTGATGAACTGGAAGAATCACTAGAACTGTCAGAAGCAATACCAGTAGATTCCTGCAGGTCAACCGAATCAGCCAAGGCTGCCAGTTCAGGATGTTCCTGCTTTAGGATCCTAAATCCAGTTGAAATTTCAGGGTTAGCCTTCGAATTGTAACACTGCACGTTAATGAATATTTTGAGGTTCTGTTTTCAATGGAGAATATACAAAGAAAGCCACTAAATCTCTTACCTGTACCATTTCCGTGACAGTTTAGGTCTCCCTCTTACTGTCTTGTGCCACACTACTGGGAAGTTGGTACAGCTGGCAAAGTTTTGAGTGATGGCAATAGTCGTGTCAAGATTGAGGACTACGTGCCACCAGCCACCTAAAACACAACACCAGTGACCATTGGTGGCTGCATGGCAGACAGCAATCTCAAGAACTGCCCAGAACACCTTTCCCACAGTGCAGGTAGAACTGGACCTTATCTCTAAAACCCAGATGAGTTTTCCAACACACCATCCTTCCTGTCTTATTTCAGCTTTCATCCCAGTGCCTGACAGGTTCTTGTTACAGAAGGCAGCTCCACGCTCTGACCAAATTACCCAGCTCACACACAGGACTGAAGATGTGACCTGACAGCACCACGCTGGCTGCTGACGGTTTATTTAACAGCAACAGCCATTGTGACCCAGACTGCACAGAGCCCTTGCTGTTCAGCTGCAGAGCACTTTCCACGCTGATTTTGCAAGGTTCTTATGACTACAGTCTAACCTTTCATTTAAAAATAGATGCAAAATTGTTTCTCCACGCAGGATAAAAGTAGTGGAGTTCTTAAAACCCACTTAGAGCCTCAGAAAAGACTGAGGAACAGTTTAATGAAACCTGACAGTTACAAACTCTTAACAGAAGGTACACTCAGGAGTCACTAATAAGTGCCAAGACAATCACAAGGCACCCTTCACACACCAAGTCAGCTGCATGTTAGAGACAAGCAGTGTGGACAGAAACTCTGGGCTGTGCTGCACATAAATGATGCAAGATTCAGAGGTTAGAATCTGGTACTGAACTCACCTCACCCCTCACTTACAATGGGCACACAGTGTGCAAGCACTCAGAGGGACAGGCATCTTTAGCAGAGCTTTATTTAGCTTTTGATTTCAAATGCAAGATGAAGCATAACCACAGAGAGGTGGGTGGAAGTTGTCAGTGCCTTCAAGTAGCTCATTTCCCACAGCTAAGAAAAATTCATATGCAAAATTCAGCCATGAATTTGCTCCAGCATGTATAAACTCAAACATTTTTCTCTAGGAGTTCCTGGGGCTCAAACACCTCTATTATTTTATGTCCTGACAGCTTTGCATTACTGCAATTTAGTTCAGATTACACTTCTGTGATGCTGCAATTTAAATCCTACTTGTTTTGCCATCTGTATCACAGACAATCCTATGCCATAGGTCATACACATTTTGTGACATTCAGGAAGTAACTGAATAGTTTCAAAATGAGCCATATAAGAAAGCTGAAATGTTCTCTTCATCTCTATTACACAGGAATGTTACAAATACGCTTTTTTTTCTCTCAGATTTCCTTCCTGGAGAGATTTGCACATACCTGGCACAAAGACTGTCTCTCCTGGTTTCTGTAAGACTTCCAGGGGTTTGAACTCAGGGGGCCAGGTGGGAAGCTGTGTCCGAGGATAGATGACATTGAACCAGGTGATGGCCTCATCCTGCTGGTTCCCTCCCTCTTCCCGTGTCACTTTGATCAGCTCTCTGGGAGTGCTGGTTGGGAACAGGCACCAACGCTTATGTCCCTGGACTAAGGCATTCCACGCACTAGTTCCCAAGGGATCAATGTGAATTCCTGTTCCAGAACGAGGTGGGCCCATCACAAACCATCTGCATGGGGAGGGGAAGAAAAGTGCTTTAGTCATAGAGCAGGCAGGCTTCTTCATGTCAGAAAATTACAGCAGTTCATTGCACATTCAGTTAGAAATTAAACTACATTTCCTTCCTTTACATTCTTGACTTTGTTAAGTTCACACTGCAGCAAAAGGGTATTACAGGAGTTTAACCTAAAAACCAGTATGAACTGGGACAGGAATACGCGGGATAAGCAAAGGAAAATGACTTTTTATACACCTTAACTCTATTTTATTTTAAACAATTCTTCAATAAAATGATGATTTCAAAGTTTATGAGCATGATTAAGTCCCAACAGCCTGTTCCTAGGCAGGAGGATTCTCCTATGGTTTTCTAGAATTTGCTGCTCAAACAGATCAGAACTTCAGAACAATGAGGAACAAAAGGCAACAAGGAACAGAGCAAGTTATGCAACCCCTGCGCCTTCTCTTCAGTCACAAGAGGCTTTTCATTCCAACACTTAACTACATGGAGCTTATTCTCCAGTGACCATTCAGGATTTGAGGTTTATACTCCCACTGCCCATTTACAAGGTTTATTTCTCCCAGTGGAGAACTTTATCTACTGTACGTGTTTAACTGCAGCAGCACCTTCAACTGCTCATTTTCCCTGGAATAGAGCAGTAAGACCAACCACACCAGAAAAAGCAGTGTGAGGTGACTTCATACCAGGCATCAAGAGAAAAAAATACCAGCAATTGTTTAATTGGCAGCAGAGAATGCAGAAGATAAAGCACCAACACAATCCCTCCATGGTGTTGTGACAGGCAGGTGATGCCCAGCAGGAGGAATGCAAAAGTTCAGAAAATACAGCAAGTTCTCCATCTCCCCTTTCCAGTGCAGGTGTAAATCAAGCTAATTTTGAAGGATCTTTTGCCACCATCAATTGTAGACCAGTAAAGTTTGATTATCAAGCTGCTTTCTTCTTGCTTCACAAAGGAACTGTAAATAAGCAGGTGTTTTTCATTTCCAGTGCCAATTCACTCTTTAGATTCATATTAACCTTAGGAAGCTGATTCAACTCCAGGTAGTACAGTCAAGGCTTTCATTAAGAAATCAGAAGAAATTATACACATGAAGGTTTGTCTGGCACAAACAGATGCACTTTCAATACCTTTTTTCTGACAATAACCTCAATCTACACACACAGAGGTTTTAAAACCCTTTTTTAGCAACACTGTCATTTACCAGCACCTTCTTCCAAATATTTAACTTACAATGAACAAAACAGAGTTTGCCCCAAGACGCCAAATTTACCACTGAGAACTTCACAAGTCCTAAATTCAATCTGAAAGCAAACCCCAGCCCCCTTCCCCAAATTAAAATAGCTGCTTTAGTAAATGGTTCCCAAAAATTACTGCCTTTATTTTAAAGAGGAACAATGCCAACAAAACTGTCTTAAACAGCACCAATTCTTCCTTTGAAGTCTACACACTGTCACACACCTCTCAATCCAGAGATCAGCCTGTACAGGTTGTATCCTTCTCATACGATTAGTACCACTTCCTGTCAGATTTCAATTATGCTCTAAAAGTACTGCACACTCATTTCTGTACCTAGATGAACCCTCTAACTCCAGGAGACATTACAATGCTCTCAAGCATCACTCAGCTCTCAAAAAACCTCAACAGCCTGAAAAACACCCACATTTTCCAGAACAAAATACATGAACCTGGATACCAAGATCACGAGCAAGGAGTTCAGCATGTGCCTGTAGGTGGGGAGGGTGTGGGGGACACAGACAGCAAAATAAATGAGTCACAACCAGATTCCTCTAACTTGGGTAAATGATCTCTAGCTCATTAAGTGTATTCAGTTTCTACTACACCTGGTGTGGTTTTGTGTTCAGCCACAGTGTTGTATTTTCTTAGAAGAGAATTATGAAAATCACTGTAAAAACACCTCCTTCAGTGATCTCAAATGGAATCAGGTTCTTGCCTCACTCCTGCAAAAGCACATCTGGACTACAGACACATGAGTGAGTTGCAGAGAAAAATGAATGCTTGCTCAATTTTATTTAAATAAACCACATCACAGCCTCACATCATTCAAAGGGCAACAGGCATTGTCTGACAATTCTAATGTCACTGTAAAGACTTTAATTACTTGGGAGGGTTCAACTTAAGCTCATACTGCTATAAAGTGTCATAGTAACATAGGTAATTTTTTTTTTTTATCTAGAAGCCCAAATACAAGGTTGCTGCATTTGAATTTATGAATGAAATGTCTTTTCACCCTCTTCCCAGCTGAAGCAAAAATAAAGAGTTGAAAAGCATAAATAGATGTGAAATATTGTTCTCTCTCAGAACCTTCTGAAAGGGAGATAAGAACTAGTGCCCCCATTAGATCCTAATCTAGCTTAAGATCTTTACCTTAAAAGGAGTGACTCATAATTAAACAAAATTCCACATTGTACATAAGCTACTGGTGCAAAACCCAGAAGCTGCTCCTGAGGTATTTAAAATCTGAACACCAGAAGGCACACACAGCAAGAAACTGATCTTTATAGCTCTCAGTAGCTATGTAGTTTTTGAAAAATCAAAGAAGTGATGTAAACTGACTTAATACAACGAAAAAGAACCCCAAACAGTCCTACACCACAAACCTGTAGCAACACTGGTGGCAGAAGGAGAAATTGTAACTCTGCCCTTCTCTCCTGCAGGATGTACACTCATTTCAGAGATGATATCCCCTTTTTATGTGAGACAATCATAAGTATTTAGGAAACACCAGTGAGCTGGAAGATACCCAGTTTTTTCTTGCTGTCACTCTACCTGTAGGGTGGCCTTCGTTTCTCCCCTGCATACTGAAAGAGATCATCAGTGAAGAATTTGGGGACCTTGTAGTCCTCCAGGAGTTTCCTTCGCTTGGGATGCTCTCCATAGCTGCTGTCAAAGATGTAGAGGGGGCTGTCATCACGTGTGGTTTCCATGTACTCTATGTAATATTTCATCTTCATCTTCACAGAGTAACCGTCATTGTCCTCCCCACATTTGAACTTCTGGTTCCTGTACTTGCGTTTCAGCCGCTCCAGCGTCCACTTCTCCTGGGCAGACCAGCCCACCTGAGCGTTCAGCAACACCACGGGCTTGTAAGGCTTTTCATAACGCTCAACAAACTCCTCCACCGTTAAATGGAGTGCATCTGCCCTCTCCACGTTATCCTGTGAAACCAAGGAGGAAAGCAGGACAGATTTTAGGACACACTGATGTCCTAGGGTTACGCTTGCCTGTGGAGGGGGGAGCTTCACACATATCCTTTGCTCTGCACACCACGAGGGTATGGAGCTGCCTCTGTGTTATTTTAAGCTCCTCGAGGCTGCAGCCCCATTTCTCCTGGCCCGCTCCCTGTACCCATCAGTGACACGCGTCGCCTGAAGCCTCTGGCACTGCTCCGCACCGAGGCAGCTCCCCGGGCGGAGAGGCCACCCTGCCCTTTCGGCTGACACATCCCCGCCTACATTTCACTCCCTCGGGACACAGGGAAGCGCTCCTGGGAATTATGCGGGTGCCCGTTCCATCCCGGCGGGCCCTGACCTTCCCACACGCCTCGCCACGTGGAGGGAAGAAAGTCCTCTCCTTCACCAAACCTCTCCCCGCCAGCTCTGAGGCAATCCCAGCCTCAGGAAAGGGCCCCGTCCAGCTTCCCATCAGACATCCCGCAGCTTCTCCTTCACCTCAGGCATTCCCAATCCCCTCAGTGTCCCCCTCCACCCCGCTCCCCTCAGGG